CAACAACAACAACCAGAAGGCTGGCGGTTCAAACCCACCAACCACTCCTCGGAAGGAAGGTTGGGCAATCCTACTTCCATAGTGATACTGCCTCAGAAACCCAAGGAGGGGTCGATATGTGTCGGGGCCGACTTCACGGCACATAACAACAAACAACAACATGGATAAGGTAAGGAGCTCTGGTGGCCCGGTGCTTAAGGCATTTGGTTGCTAACCAAAATGTGGGCGGTTCTAAACCAGTAGCCGCTCTGCAGGAGAAAAACAAGGCAATCTACTTCTCTGAAGATTTGTAAACTTAGAAACCCTATAGGGCAATTCTCTGTCCTGCAGGATCACTATGAGTTGGAATCCACTCGATGGAAGTGGGTTTGGGTATGGATAATGTGGATTCTAGGCTAGTCATCGAAGCTCTTGGCTTGGCAGCAGTGTTGGGAATTCAGAGTAGGCGGTGCTCCCTCTTATCCTGCTCTTCTTGTGGGACAGGGAGGCAGTCCTCTGCTGCCTGGCCTCCGCTGGTCTCCGAAGCAGTGTGGCCTTCTGCTTCCTCCTCAGCACAGCTGTTACCCACCCAGCTGGCTATTCAAAGGACTTCCCTCTCAGAGAATATACTGATCATTCACTGTTCTGAGAAGAGCTCCCCAAGGGCAAGGGATGTTCCTCATTCATCTTTGTATCTCCAGAGCTTGAAGAGTGCCTGGCTGTTAGGAGACACTCAGGAAACACTCTGAATAAATGAATAAAAATGATACGTATTTCTTATGTATGTGTGTGTATACATACACACAGACGTGCATATCTAATTATTTATAGATTTACTTATGTCACATTTCTGTATAGCAAGTGTGATAAAATATATTTGATTAGCATTCCATGGTTTACCAGTACTTTAACCATAGCAATAATTCTAATAACCATAATGCAGTAATAATGGGTATCATTTATTGAGAACTTTACATACATTATTTAATTCTCACAATAACACACTGACGCAGATATCCTTGTTTTATCAAGAGGACTCTGTAGCTTAGAACATTTAAGGTCATACAGCTAGCCAGCATCATCCCAGCAATGGATACTAAGTGCAATGTTGTCTCCATAACTAATTCACCTTGTGAATGAAATTATGCCACATAAACACCCTGCATTGTGTTTTATGAAAACTTAAATTGGATTCATGTGCTGCCACCCAAATGGCCAGTAAAAACCCTGATGGCAAACAGATAAACCAAGTGAAAGTAGACACATACCTGACACATAGTTGTTGTTATGTGCTGTTGCATAGCGACCCCTCCTTGGGTTTCCAAGGCAGTATCAACGACTGAAGTAGATTGCCCCATCTTCCTTCCGAGGAGTGGCTGGTGGGTTTGAACCGCCAGCCTTCTGGTTAGCAGTCAAGTGCCTTAGGCACTGTGCTACCAGAGCTCCTCCTGACACATAGAGGGGATCGATATTTTTAACCACCAATCTGTCTAGTGGGATGGGTTGATAGAGTACTGTACATGAACCACCCTCTTTTATTACTGTTTGCAGCTCAGGAGTAAGTGAAGGGCACATTAAAACAGTGTCCGAACTTCCAAGTTTCTGAAATTAAAGAGGAAAATAATTCAGTAAATAGGCAATAAATATTGGAGCACATGTCTAAAGTGCATATTTAAGCAAATAGATTAAAGAGACAATCATGAAATCCAGCTTACTATTCTTTCTGGATCTTGAGAAACGTTTTCCTCAAACACAGTGATTTAAAACAAAGTGTTCCTGATCTCCAGGTTTAATTGTGTTAATAAAGAATGGTTGACATCCGTATTTGGGAAATATCTGATTCACTGTCACATCCATGGAAAGAGTTTCATTCACAGTGTCTTAATCACGCAATCATTTTGAGTTACAAATGAGAAAGGGCAGTCTTATTTTGTCCAACTCTGAATAGATTTCATGCTCTAGAATTTGAATATCACTGAAATAGTAAAGAGGGATGTAAAACTGTTAACATTCTTTATTGTGGAGTCAAGTTGTAAAGCTTGAAACCAAAATATTATCTTATACGTGGTTTATATGGACTGCCATTAACTTTTTATCTGATTTCTGTCATTATTGGAAGTGAAGGTAGGCTGTGCTAGTGTCAAGGTTTTTTAATAGAGTGGTGATTTCTCAGAGTTTGGCTTGTTCAACTTAAACTGTCCTATAGGATCAGTACCTTAAAATTAGGAGGTTCTGAGTACCTTAAAATTAGGAGGTCAAACAAATTTTGAAACTATGACTCCTAATTTTCTCCCTCTTCCTCCCTAACCACAGATCAGCTGTTCACAGATTGATTAATGGATATCTAAGTTTTATTGCTTAAAGATAGTTGAATTATTATTGAGTCGGGTCCGACTTGATGGCACATAACAACAACAACACAGCCAACTATTTAGAAGCCTGTTGTTGTTAGGTACCGTCAAGTTGGCTCCCACTCACAGGGTCCCTGTGTACAACAGAACAAACCACTGCCTGGTCCCGTGCCAGCCTCACAATCCTTGCTATACCTGAGCCCATCATCGCAGCCACTGTGTCAGTCATGCCACATAAGCAAATGGAGGTCCCGAAAGCTTTATTCCATCTACATCGTTGAGGTCAGCTGTACTCTGAGGAGGCAGCTCTTCCCCAGTCATATTTTGAGTGCCTTCCCACTTGAGATGCTTATCTTCCAGCACTATATCAGACAGTGTTTCAGGCTATTCATCAAGTTTTCCAGTAATATATCAGTGTTCCACTGCTATTCATAACATTTTCACTGGCCAGGTCTTTGAGAAGTGGATGGCCCCTTCCATTTTCTGAGTCCGTCTTAGTCTGGAAACTCCACTGAAACCTGTCCACCATGGATGACCCTGCTGGTACGTGAAATACTGGTGGCATAGCCTCTAGCCTCACAGGAACACACAGGCCACCATAGTATGACAAACTGGAAGATGAGTGGTGGCTTTAGAAGCCTAGTTTATTAAAATATATGAGATATCTGGTCTCTTGATCTTAACACCATCTATATAAGATGGTACAGAGGTGAGTGGAATGGGATAATATTATGTCTCTCTGGTGGCCTGAGACATATTGCTGCTCCTCCTCCCTCACACGGCACATGTCTGAGCACTTGAGAGGAGCCTTCCTTTCTGACACTACTCACATACTGCATTCAGGGAACAGATTTGGAAAGACAGAAAGTCTTGGGTGAAGCATGACTGGTGACTTAATGGGTAGTAAAAACAACAATAACAAAAAATAATGATAAAAAAAACAAAAACCAAACTCACTGCCATCAAGTCGATTTAACTCACAGCAACCCCTCCTTGGATTTCCAAGGTAGTGTCTCTATGGAAGTAGACTGTTCAACCTTCCTTCCCAGGAGTGGCTGGTGGGTTTGAACCACTAGCCTTCTGGTTAGCAGTCAAATGCCTTAGGCACAATGCCACCAGAGCTCCCAAAATAATAACAAACAATCATAATTCAAGAACGTAAAATACTCCTACTCTTTGAAGAGATTTTGTGGCTCTAGTTCTAAGCTAGGGGCCAGTTGGGCGTTCAGTGGTAGATCCTTGCCTTCCATGCAGAGGACTCTGGCTTGATTACTCGTCAATGCATCTCATGTGCAACCACCGCCTGTCCATCTGCCAGTGGAGCTTTATGAGTTGCTATGATGCGCAACAGTTTTCGGCAGAGCTTTTAGACTAGGAAGAAAGACCTGGTCATATAGTCCGCCAAATCAGCCAATGAAAACCCTACAGATCGTAACAGTCTGATGTGCCACTAATGATGGAGATGGTGCAGGCCCCAGTAGCATTTGGTTCTGTTGTGCATGGGGTTGCAGTGGTTTGGAGGCCAACTTGACAGCACCTAAATTCTCTAGTTGACTCATTTTGTCTGATGCTAACTAAAAAGTATGCATGCTTTTGCAGTCCTTATATAGCTAGACACTGGAAAATCAGGACTCCATCCTATTCTTATCCTACAAATCATCATTTTTCAGAAATGATGTGAGCTTTCAAATCAGAATGAGTGGTGGATGCTACCTCTTGGTACATGGCAGTAGACAGTTTAGAGGTGACTCTTAGTCTGGTCACTTTGGTCATGGTGGCCAATTTGGAAGAGGAAAAAGCCGATATGGACAAAGGTATTTTGGGTTCTTTTGCTTCGGCCAGTCAGACAAAAGTCCTGTGGCTTCTGGGATTTACCTTGAAAATATTACAAACTAAGTCTTTCTAAAATGAACACTTCTTAGACTTCCTTGAGAAATGTAATTTGCTCTTTGAATTTTTTCTGCTGTTATTCATAGCTATATAATTAAAAAAGTCAATGTTTCACAGTGTCTCCAGTTTTTAGAGAAAGACGGCAATTTGAATTATAAGAATCTTTCATATTTTAAACACAACTTATTATTTAGAAATAGCAGCATTTTACCTTTTTGTTGCGCTTAGTTTTTGTAACTAAGAGGAAATCATCAAATTGAAACAGATAAACATCTAGGAACCTTGTGCTTTCCGAGGAAAGAAAGAAAAGGTAAAATGGGCTGAAATACTAAGTAGAAGGTTTTATTTTTAGTCTAAGAATCCCTTAGGAAAAATCAGGATAGGTATTATGGTCCAGGCTTGCAGCCCAAGGACCTCTACTCTGTGTCAGACAACTGGATTAATGTTAAATTGATTTCTTCCTGAAACAGACTTGATTTGAGCACAGGCTTCCAACTTTAAAGCTACTATATTTCTGATACGTTTCATGTGGATCTGAGATAACTCGGATGGCAGTGGTAATGGTTATGACTAAGTCTAGGAGAAATCTATCAACTAATTGATGGAGTTTTGCTTCTGGACGCATCTGGATGGTCACTGGCAAAGGTACACATTACAAGAGAAAAGGTATTTTGTCATTCAAATGACAGGCAGTCCCCGTGGGTTACAAACAAGATCCATTGCTAAGTATGTCTTTAGTGAGTTTGTAGGTAAGTTGCAACAGGTGCATGCAGTTGTTACTTAGCCTTACTTTAGTGCAAGAAAAGGGACTCTGGTGGAGCAACAGTGGAGGCACTTGGCTGCTAACCAAAAAGGATGGAGATTTGAACCCACCAGCCACTCTGTGGGAGAAAGATGAGGCAGTCCTTCCATAAAATTTACAGCATTGGGAACCCTATGCGGCAGTTTTGGTTATGAGTCGGAATTGACTAGATAGCAAAGGGTTTTAGGGTTTAGTGCAAGATAATTTATAGCTGCATGTGCAACAAGTGAAGGTAATCGGACTGAAGATTTTGTTGAGAGTAGTGATTGTTCAGTCACTTCCAGGTGAGTACAAATTTACATAACATTAAAGGGCAAGTTTGGACATTCGTAACCTGGGGACTTAACTGTACTTGCTTCTCAAGCTTTACAAAGTGTGTGTTGAAATATTCTCCATGTAGTTTCATGCTGATAACCCTTTCTGATAGGAGCTCTGGTAGTGTAGTGCCTAAGGCACTTGACTACTAACTAGAATGCTGGCAGTTCAAACCCACCAGCCACTACTTGGAAGAAAGGTTGGGCAATTTACTTCTGTAGTGATACCACCTTGGAAACCCAAGGAGGGGTCACTATGTGTTGGGTCCAACTTGAGAGCTAATGAACAACAACAACCCTTTCTGATTGTTGTTTGTTGTTGTTATGTGCTGTCGAGTCAGACCCGACTCATAGCGACCCCTCCTTGGGTTTCCGAGGCAGTATCACTATGGAAGAAGATTGCCCCATCTTCCTTCCGAGGAGTGGCTGGTGGATTTGAACCGCCAGCCTTCTGATTAGCAGTCAAGTGCCTTAACCACTATGCTACCAGAGCTCCCATTGATACTTAAGGAAAAGAGACTTTTCTACTTTTCCCTGAGAAGATATCTCAGAATTTATAATAGATCAAACATCAGAATAAAATATCCCCTTTCCTCTTTTACTCTAGAATTGCTCTAGAGTTAGTAAAAGAAGCAGATAAATTTAGTGGATTTCAAAGAAAAGGCAGTTCAAGTAAATAGAGGAAAACCCAGCAAATACTTTATTCTGTTTGTTTTTTGGGCATTCATTCATTTCTATTGTTCTTGACATTCTTTTCCATATACTTTTATCCCTGAAAGCTAGGTAGCTAGGGCTAAATGAATAGATGAAGCATTTAAGATTCCTTTCTACCCCCTCTACTTCTTTAAGTTTACAGGAAACAACCTCTGCCATTTATTTACCAGCCATGTAACCTTGAGCAAGGTACGGATCCTCCCCAAACCTTAAATCCTCACATGTAACATGGGATTGAATGAACCCTCACTGAATAACTGGCTGGAAGGAAACAATGTGTGAATATTTGACATATGACACTGGGTTTGTCTATCACCTGTATTAGGCAGTTGCAGGTGAGGATTATGTCTCAACCCTGATGGCTAGTGCTATACTAGGACATGGGAGTCCTTGGGTGGTGCAAATAATTAATGCCTTTGGTGGCTAACCGAAAGGTTCCAGGTTCAAGTCCACCCAGAGGCACATTACAACAAAGGCCTGGTGATCTACCTCTGAAAAGTCAGCCACTGAAAACCCGATGGAGCACAGTTCTACTCTGTGCACGGATTGCCATAGTCTGAACTGACCCAATGGCAACTGGTTTTACCTAACGTGTAGTTGATTGTCAGTAAATGTGTATTGAGTAAGAAATTATTCCCTAATAGCTGTCCCCCAGTTCTCACCCTACCAGAAATAGTTAACCTCACATCCAACAGGGCTTCATACACAGTAAGTACCCAATCAAGAGTTTGTGCATAAATGAATTAATGCATGAGTACTAATCTTATTTTAGTCAGGCAGGCCTCTCTGATAATCATACTATTTATTGAGCACTTTATTGTTCTAGACGGAGCTCTGGTAGCACAGCACCTAACGCACCTGACCACTAACCATAGGTTGGTGGTTCAAACCCACCAGCGACTCAGTGGCAGCAAGACTGAGCAATCTACTTCCGTAAAGATTTACCATAACAACCCAGTGGGGGTTGTTATGAGTCAGAATCGACTCGATGGCTGTGGATTTGCCTTTGGTTTGGTTTTATTGTTCTAGACACTCTTCCAAGTGCCTGTATATCATTAGCTCATTTAATCCTCACAACAAAGGGAAAGAGAAGCACGGGGAGGTGGCTGTAACTGGCCGGGGTTGCACAGGCACAAAAAGTTGAGCCAGGTTGCGAACTGACAGTTGGCCTCCATGGCTCACCCTCCTAATGACTGCCCTCGGCTGATTCTCTCAGGTGGCTTCTGCCTCCAGGCCTTTCCTTCTGTGTCCTCTTCAAGGCTGTCCTCCTTCCCGTCCTTCCACTGGCTCCCATCCGTTCTACCCCTAGAGCCCGTCTCCAGTCCCGTGTACACATGAAGACATTCCTGGTACTCCAGCCTCACAGACATGCTTTTATGAACTTAGAGTGCAGGTCTTGGAGGCAGTGGTGTTCATTGGTAGAATTCTTGCCTTCCATGAAGAGGACCCAGCTTTGAGTCGCAGCCAGTGCAGCTCATGTGCATCTGCTTTCTGTCGGCCAGCAGAGGCTTATGTGTTGCTATGGTGATGACTAGGTTTCAGGGTATCCTGCAGACCGAGACAGACTAGGCTGAAAGGCCTGGAGGTCTACTTTTGAAAGTCAGCCAGTGGACGTCCTGTGGATCACAATAGTCTGATTCCCATCTGGCCATGTGGATGGTGCAGGACTGGGCAGCATTTTGTCATGTTGTGAAAGAGGTCGCCATGAGTCAGGGGACAACTGGATGGCAGCTAACGACAACATCACAACTGCAGGTTTTTTCATTATGGCAACACAATGTTTTTTCCCAAAATATTTTGTTTTCATAATTATTTTTATACTGTATCTACCTAGTACAACATGGTTTGGCACATACTAACTTTTCAATAAACAATAGTTGATCGCCCAGCTCACTGGAAAAGTTAAATGATGATGATAGCAACTAACATTGATTTAGTGTTTATGGTAATTTAGACTTTAGGCTAAGCTCTTTATGTATTTCATTTAACAGTAATTTTGTGAGATAGATACTGTTATCCCCAATGTACAAAGAGAAAACAGAAGGCACGTCACTAGTTGTGTTGTGAAGTCGGAGTTGGTGAAGTCTGGCGTTAGTATGACTCCTGAGGGTGCTCTCTCAATCACATCTTCCTCTGCGGGACATAGGCAAACACAGCTCCTCCTACCCTTCAGTTAGGAACAACTGAGCCAGCTGTCACTACAGCTGCGTGATAGGGAAGCTGTTAGATTTCTAAAGGAAGCGGTTATTTACCTGCAAGAGTTAATTTTGCCCATAGAGCAGGTATCTGTTGGTTGGTGACAAGATGTTCTCTGCCATGTGTTCTTTAAAAATGTGTTTCAAGCACTTACAAAACAAAGGAGAAAATGAAATAGAGATGTTAGTGATTGGAAGAGAACACGATCAAGGAGTTGGGGCAATGGCCTCTGTCCAGAAAACTCAAAATATTCGGAAATGTCAGTAGATGGGCAACCTTGAGAGAATGGAAACAGCTCTCAGAAGAACACCCCAAGAATGTCATGATGACATAAAGCACCATGTGGATAAAGGCTTGACTTCTTCCTCAGAAAACTAGATTTACCTCTCAGTTGGACAGCTGGGGACTCTCTAGGACTACCGTATTTTCACCTGAAAGCCAAACTTCCGGAAAAGGACATAGGCCCTGATTGATCTTTCGTACCTCAGGAATGAAAAACCTTTTGTCTCTATCCCAAAGCAGAGGCCACACTATAATCTCCTATAGATGTCGAAGTTTTTGAAAATTATCAAGCCACTTCACTTTTCCTTCTAGATCCCCTGAAAGACAAAATATAGCCAGTATATTTTTAAATTCATGTGACATTGCATTGTAAATTTTAACCAAGACCCATAGTAATCATTTAGAGACTGCCTGCCTCTGGAGCCAAACTATATATTAGGTTCATTTAACATATTACTTGCTGTTTAAACATCTAAGACAACTCACTAATATGAAATCAGCCTCTTGCAGAGAAGAAGGAAGCTTAACCAATGTAGTTCAGTGAGTTGGGAATGTACTGTGCATTTTTAATTCATTAGCACCAACAAAACACTTTGAAGTTTTCTCTTATTTTCCTACACCTCACGCTTACATGGAAGAAAGGGAAAAATATTGGATTAGAGGAAGAAAAACGTTACTGGATGAACATATACTTTTGTCTTAATTATGAAACATATGTTTGCATCATAAGAATGATCATTTCTTTTTGTTCATAACTCAGTTTTCTCTTTTGTAGATTTGTATTAATTTTCTAATAGCCTATTGCTATGGAGGTTTTGAAAGGAAATTTTGAAACAGGGAGTGTTCATGGACTCATGGAACCCTTGAGAATTCATCATTTTTGAGGCAACAAACTTAAAGGAAGTCTGTGTTAATCTCGTCCCTCAACAATGAGAATCTTTTATTAAGAAGTTTCCAGGGGAGATGCTGTTACCTTTTTCACAAACCTATCCACATGGTAAAAATCCTCAAAATTATATTCAAACTCTGTCTGTAACTGAATTTTTGTCTTTTTTGTTTGATTAACTTCATTTTAATTCCTGGAGTGATTTTAGAATTTGAGTAAAAAATATAAAATAAGGGAAACCAAAAAGCCAAACCCATGCCGTCAAGTTGCTTCTGACTCATAGTGATCCTATGGGACAGAGTAGAACTGCCCCATAGGGTTTCCAAGGCTTAATCTTTATAGAAGCAAGGATGCTCCCACAGGGCGGTTGGTGGGTTCAAACTGCTGACCTTTTGGTTAGCAGCTGGATGCTTTAACCACTGCATCACCAGAGCTCCTGGGAGAAAGAAACCCCTAACTGGTCATTTTACTTTTGAACTTGCAAAAGGGGCAAAAAAAAATCTGTACAGCTGCCATCATCAATCTGAGTTGTTCTCTTTTGATACCTTCAAGGAAATCTTGGTTAATGAGCATAAATTATGGACTTCCTTGCTTGGATTTCAAGGTGCCCTGGTGGCACAGTGGTTGAAGGACTCAGCTGCCACATCTTTCCCCCACAGAGCGGTTGGTGAGTTCAAACCACAAACCTTTTGGTTAAAAAGGTTAAGAGGTCTGTGGTTTGAACTCACCAACCTCTCTGTGGGGGAAACATGTGGCAGTCTTCTTCTGTGAAGAGTTACAGCCTTGGAAACTCTATTGGGCAGTTCTACTCTGCCATCTAGGTTTGCTTTGAGTCAGAAGCCAGGGCAATAGGTTTGGGTTTTTCGTTGGTTGCTTGAATTTCAGTTATACAAAACTACAGCAGTAAACTTAAGTCATCGTAGAGCTTGCTCAGTTCCTATTTCCAAACTTCATTTCTGGAGACTGGAATTATTTTTACATTGGCCCTGGATTTTAGAGACCAAAACAAAATGATGAACACTAATTTATCCTCCCAAATGCCTGGGCAGGAGAACCTCTCAGCAGTTCTAGTCACTAACAACATGATGCACCTGTGAGCTTGCTTGGAGCATTTATAAGCCATGGGCTAGACTCTGACTTCAACTTTAATTCAGTGTTGGCTTACCCAGTAAGCAAGGTAAGGACAGGCTTAGCTGTGCTTACTTACTAATTCTTCACCACATCAAAGATTTTGCTTCTGCGTATGGCTGGCATTTGTTTCTCTCTCAATCCCACAGCACTTTCCTATAGAATCAAAGCCTCTTTCCGAATTTACAATCCTCGACAGGGATGGAGTACTCAGAAAGCAAGGTCAGCGCAGGCTTACTTATGCTTACTAATCTGTAGTGAAAGTCAATTTGTCAGTAAGCACAAATAAGCCTCTGCTTACTTTGTTGTTGTTGCTAGGTACCGTCAAGTTGTCTCCAAATCATAGCGAACCCACGTACAGCAGAAACACTGCCTGATCCCGTGCCAGCTCCACGATCCTGCTATACTTGAGCCCATCATTGCGTCACTGTGTCAGTCCATCTTGTTGAACGCCTTCTCCTCTTTCCTCGACCCTCAACCTTACCAAGCATGATATCCTTCTCTTCTTTGTTGGGGAGAATCGGGTAATGATTAGAAACTAAAAGAAAAGTGAAAGTAGACATTGACATGCTCAAATGACTTTAATGATAGAGCAGAGAGGAGAGGATAAGGGGATAAAGATAAAAACAATTTTCAATACAGTCGGAGTTGGTGTTTGGAGAAGGAGGCTGTTGTAGGTATGTGAGTGGGGAAGATAGGAAAAGGGATTCTTAGTATTGCTATGAGTTATGAATTCAATTTTTAGAAATGATCTTTGAGAAACACAAATTAACATGAGAATCTTGCATTTGTTGTATCTGCTGGGCTGTTTCCTTGACTGTGATACTGTCTTGAACTTGAGAGACCCCACCTTTTATGCAGGTTACACATGACACATGAAAGTGGGTCTCTGGCTGCCCTGCAGATAGGTACATCAAGAGTATTATTAGTGGATGTGTTCTCTTCCTCTATTCTTATTCCACTGTGGCATACCCAATGGATCCTGCTTTAAAGGGATCCTGACCTCAAACTAAATATTTTTCTTACTGAAAGCTGTCACTTCTTTCTCCCCTTGTCATTCCTTTCCGGGCCCACATTTGTTCCTCTGCCTGGTGACCCAGGGCTACAGAGCCAGGCACACTCTGAGAGGCTCCCTCTGTTCCTCTGAAGAAATTTATGCCCAGGTATCATCCCTTGATATCAGAGATCGAGGTACAATGGACTGAAACCCCAACCAATCTCATGGTGTGTGCAAGTCCAAAGCTCTCCATTTAGAAATTTACAAATTCACAGAGACTGAGATTTTAATGACTTCTTCTGACTCCTGGACTCCTGTTTCAAAATCACTGTCTTCCCTGATTGGCATGGACCACCGGAAACCCACTGACATCAGATGTTTGCAAGTATGTTAATGGTTTCTATCGTGCCCACAAAAAATATGAGTTGGAACTCTAGACTCTATACCTGTGGATTTCCTGTTTGGAAATAAGGTTTACTTTTTATGTTAAGTATTCTATACCCAAGTAGGGTGGGTTCTAAATCCAATCATTTCTGAGTTCTAAAAGGAGCAGATTAGACACAGAAGTGTGCACACAGGGAAGAGAGATGCTGTGTGAGGTTTGCCAAGGAAACAAAGAACACCCGTGGCTACCGACAAGGGAGGAATATATATACCTGAGACCTTGATTTGGGCTTCTAGACTCTGGAACTGGGATAAAATGAATTCTGTGCTGTAAAGCCCCCCCTTGTGGTATTTGTGTTACAGCAGCACTAGGAAGCTAAGACAGAATATGTTGTTGTTGTTGTTTGCCGTCGAGTCGGCCCCGACTCATAGCGACCCCTCCTTGGGTTTCCGAGGCACTATCACTACGGAAGTAGGATTGCCCAACCATAGATACTTATTTCACTGAAGAGTCTGGGTTTCAGGGAGGAGGTCAAATGCACAGCCCCCGGGCCCCTGCCATTTTGATGACTCCATTCCCTTCTTTGGGAAGAGAGAGCTCTTTCTCTGCTCCTCCCGAGCTCCCTCCCTGCCCTCTCCTAGGTCAGGCTCAGCAATTTGCATTTGTCTTCATAGCTTGGCGACTTCTTGGGGCTCTTAGTCTCCCACACAAGCAGCTTTATCAAAGTATTTCGTTTGGAAATAACCAGAGCTTTTCCTTACAGGCATTCTGCTGAGTAAATCTTCTCCACTACCCTCTATATGGATGGCAAGCCATGAAATAGAGCACGGTGTGACATAATGAACGGAGATCTAGGCTCCAGGCCTCAGGTGTGGGTACCTGAGATACCACGTTTCCTTCCCTGTACCTCAGAGTCCTCTTCTGTAAAATGGCAGAGGCTACTAGCTGATCCCCAACTTCTCACCCAGCTGGACTGCTACTGTCATCAGGATTGGAAAGGATGGAGAAGGAAGCAGGCTATTTGGACTGCTGGTGTGGGAAGGCGGGAAGTGGTAATGAGTGGAGCAAACAGGTGTGGGGAGCGGGACTGTGGCAGTAGGCCTGACTTCTATGCTGACTCATTTATTGGCAACAGTATTCCAGTGCTGCCTGTGGGTCCTCTTGGGCTGGAGAATTCCACACACTGACTGCTCAGCAGTAGCTGGGGATTCTCTCAGAACACATAGCGTCAGATGTATTTGTTTCCAGTCACTGCTGTAAAAAATTACCACCAACTGGGTGGCTTAAAACAACAGAAACTTATTCTTTCACAGTTCTTGAAGCCAAAAGTCTGAAACCAAGGTGTTGGCAGGGTTGGTTCCCACTAGAGGCTCTGAGGGGATAATCTATTCTGTGCCTCTTCCCAGCTTCTCGTTTGCTACTAGCAGTCCCTGATGTTCCTTAGCTTGTAGACACACACGCCAATTTCAGTCATCACCTGGTGTTCTCTCTGTGTAACTCAGTGTCTCTTCTCCTCTTCCTATAAGGGCACTAGTCACATGGGTTAAGGTCCAGCCTAGTGACCTCATTTTAACTAGACTAAATCTGCGAAGACTTGATTTTCAAATAGCTCATCTTCACAGGTGCTATAGGTTACGGCTTCACTGTAGGCCATTGGAGGACAAATTTAAGCTTGTCTGGGGGTAGCAGGACGGATTCTGCCTCCATGCTTGCGTACCAGGGTGATAGCCGCATGTTCCTAGAGCCCAGCCCCACCAGGCGTCGTGGAGAGTAAGTTCATCTCGGTGCTTTCGTGGCCCACTTGAGGACACAAACGTTGGTTCCCCAGTAGCATCGTCATACCAGAGCTTGATAGCAGAAGGAACAGTGGCTTTTGATACGTCTGCATTTGAATCTTGTTTCTGCCCCTCAATTGCATCTTTCAGCAAGTTGCCTAATTTTGTCTAACCCTTGAAAAAAGGGAATAATACCATTTTCTCCACAGTGTAGGAAAAGAGATTACAGATACCAGGCATGCAGCACAGTTCTTGGCCTGAGGTAGAGAGTCAAGAACTGTTCACCTTTATTGTCTGTGGTAATACTTCTGTTCTGTGTGATGGGAATGTGAGAGACAGATTCCCTTTCAATTATCACCCCCTCCAAAGTCTCTCCCATACCCCTCACTTAGTTTTGTGATGTTAACAATTCTCTTAAAGATGGAAAATAGCTCTGATGAGTTGGAAAAACTTTTGTGGTAAAGAGAATTGGATTTTTCACCTAAAGCCCTTTATCTAGGTTGTTTCTTTGCTACTTATCTGCTGTGTGACCTTGCAAAACTCACATACCTCTTTGAGCCTTGGGGACACGTGGGCAATGTAATTAACTTCATGGAGTTGTGCTAAGGATCAAATTAGATGTTTGGAGAGTGCCTCATAAAATGTTACACCTTATAAAAATATCACATTATCATCACAGCATTTCATCCTCTACTCCCTTTCTCTAAATATCTTTGTAGGCTATATATATCTCATTTATGAATGTATGCCACCCCTCTGACCCTCAATTGATATGGGGTTTTTGATAGTTATTTGGAAATGGCAGCTGAGCCTTGTAAAATTAATCTCTCTCCTGGCTCAGAAAGGAGCCCTGGTTGCACAATGGTTAAGCACTTGGTGGCTAACTGAGAGGGTGGCAGGTTGAACCCACCCAGTAGCTAGCTCTGTGGGAGAAAGACCTGTCAATCTGTTTCCATAAAAATTACAACCCAGAAAACTCTTCTGTGTCCCATGGGGCTGCTATGAGTAGGAATCAACGTGACAGCATCTAACAACACCAACTAGCTTGGAAGGGAGAGAAATTGGCATGTATCCTGCACAGTGTGGGGGTCTGGCTAGGAGTCTATCAGCTTTCCAGGGAAAGCTTTTTAAAATGATTAATCTTACATTAGGAAATCTAATGAATTTTCAGTTTGAGTAGTGAAGAAACCAAAAAGCTAAAGCTACAAAAATAGGGCCAAATATCTTCCCCATGATGGTCCCTCCTTTCTCACCCACACCACATCCAGGCTTCCTGGCCTGTCCAGGCCATGGCACAGGCCCACAAGTTCACTGGGAGGTGTGGAAGCCTGTCCTCCCAAGCCACTGAAGTGATGCCCTGGCAGGAGTTTCTCCCAGGTGCAGAGAAGGGCTGGCTCTTGAGAAAGACACATACCATGTTCCCTGGATCATATGAAAGTGCTCTAGCATGGTACTTGTGGTAGTTAAGGTTATATGTCAGCTTCGCTGGGCCTGGTTTTGAATGGCTGGGCAGCTGGTGGTAGTTATTCCCCATGATGAGACTGGCAATCAACTCCATAGTGGAATCTGCCACGAGCAGAGTAACTCTTTAGGGATGTGGGCTGCTTCCCAGTATGTAAGGAGGAGATTTGGGAATGGTCTCTAGCTTATGGCACGCTTGGATCCTGTGTGTAGCCAAGTTGTTGTTTAGTAGCCTGCCATGCTCTGCCAATCTCGGGACTTCTTCTGGACTTGAATTAGTGGCCTGCCATGTTGTTTGGTAACATCAGGACTGTGCCTTTTTACTTGTCAACCTTGGGCTTGTCCGCCTCAGCAGCCAACAGCTGTCTGAGTGAAGAAATGCCTCCAGCTTCAGTGGGCTGGGAGCAGGAGGTAGAGCTGAAGCCCAAGGCTTTCACCCAGCCTCTAGAGCCTGGCACTTTGAACTCAGACTTAAAGCCTCCAAAACTGTAAGAGAATAAACTCCTGTTTGTTAAAGCTGTCCCATTTGTGGTATATTTCTGTCAGAGCTGCATTAAGTAACCAAAACAATACTGAAGAGTTATAGTTGGGGCTAAAAGAAATATAGGTGTCAGAGGCGCTGGGGAAGTCAAGGAAAATTGATTCCAGGCCTGATTATTAACAAATGCTAAAGGCCATTAGCAGAAACTCCTTTTTCTAATGCTTTGCCACTATGTTGCACAACTCCAGGGGCACCATTTACACTGTGCTTTATGATGTACTATGGCACTGAGGGACACCATTCATTTGGAATACAGTGTAAGTGGTGCAGCAGAGCTTTGCTGGGACCAAATCCTAGAATGCCAAACTTCTAGTCACAAACAAAACTTGAGTTCTGACTGTCATTTTCTCCTTACAATTTCAACCACAAGCCAACCAGCCAAACAAAACATTTTTAAGCCTCTGTCAAAATTTCAGGAGGGATATGGGGTAATATAAGGAACCCTGGTGGCACAATGATTCAGCAGGCAATTGCTAACGGAATGGTTGGGGGTTTAAACCCACTGAGCTGCTCTGCGGGAGAATGATGTGGGAATTTGCTTCCATAAAGATTACAGTCAAGAAAAGCCAGTGGGGCAGTTCTCCTCTGTGATGTGGAGTCGCCATGAGTTGGGATTGACTGTATGGCACCTAACAAAACATTGAGTGGTATGTTTTCAGGGTGCCCCATTTAAAATTCCTAAGTATGCAGTGGATAATATATATATGAGAGAAACTTAAAATTTATTGTTGATAACTTTACTTTTTCCACATTTAATTTGTGTATAATAATTCCCAGTACTTGTTAGTCCCAAAGAGTCTCAGTAAAAATAGAAAAGAAAATGGTACCTTACTTTTAAATATATCCCAAAGTCCTCTCTCTGCCTCAAGCTCTCAAGATAAAAGGCAGCTGCAGTGTGGTTCAGGCAGTAGGTCTGGTGGCTCTGACAGAGACTTCTGAGAAACACCGTGAGAGAAGAGCAGAAAGACAGTTAATAGGAGAACAGCACTAAACTCTGACAGACTGTCTCTTTCTTGTCTCTTCTGTCATTAACTGGAACAGAGAAAAGTAGAGCATTGTGAAGCAGGAGATGTGGCTGTGTGGATATAAACAGTGTTCTCATAAAAAAAATAGGTAATGTCTGTAATAAATGGTCTTTAAGAAAAATATAGGGAGGTCTAGTAGCATAGTGGCTAAGGTACTTGACTGCTAACCAGAAGGCTAACGGTTCAAACCCACCAGCCACTCCTCGGAAGGAAGATGGGGCAATCTAGTTCCTTAGTGATACTGCCTTGGAAACCCAAGGAGGGGTCGCTATGAGTCGGGTCCGTCTTGACGGCACACAACAAGAAGAAAAATATGGTATTCTTGTAATAAACAGCCAGCTTCTCAATAAATACTCTTTTTTTTTTTTTCTATGTTGTTGTGTGCCATTGAGTTGATTCCAAATCATAGCAACCCTATAAACAGAGAACTGCCTCATAGCGTTTCTAGTTAGTGGGTTCAACCACCAGCATTTTGGTTAGCAGTCAAGCAGTTAACCACTGTGCCACTAATGCTGCTGCTTCCTTTATTTTCAATATGTAAAGAAAATATATTTGAGGCATCTTGATTTAATTTACCCATTATGCTTTGGTGTTTATGCTTTGGTGAGGGCCACATACCCTGGATGGCACCTAATACAGACATACCTCAGAGAGATACTGTGGGTTCAGTTCCTGACCACCACAATAAATATGGCATAACACAAGTCACACTAATTTTTTGGTTTCCCAATGCATATAAAACATGTTTACTCTGTACTGCAATCTATTAAATGTGCAATAGTATTATGAAAGCATTTGACATGTTGTGAGAGTTACCAACATGTGATAGACATGAACACATGCTGAAGGCTTGATTGAGACAGGGTTGTCACAGGCCTTCAATTTGTGAAATAATAAAATCTTTGTGAAGTGAAATAAAATGAGGTATGCCTGTAACAACTACTGCTTTCAATCCTGGCATCCACATGGTTGATGTTAAGTTTGTGTTGGCAGTAAGTGACTAAAATAACAACATTCACCTTTCCATCAGATATTCCTCAAAGATATCCATAAATTTAATTCTCCTGCTGCCTTCTAAAAACGTAGTCAAATTTGGGGCATCACTACCGAGTGTACTATATTTAACAACATGCATTTGTGTGTGTGTGTGTGCATGTGTGCAGTGGTCTTGTGCAGTCTTCCCTTTTCTTCATTATTATTTCATCACTTAACCTGCTATAATGCCTACACATTTGTAAAACTCACTGCCATTGAGTCGATTCCAACTCATAGCAACCCCCATTAGGTTTTCAAGGCTGTAAATATTTATGGAAGCAGACTGCCTCATCTTTCTTCCACAGAGAGGCTGGTGGATTTGAACCATGGACCTTTTGGTTAGCGCCAAATGCCTTAACCACTGCACCATCAGAATGCCTTTGTAGACCTTCTCAAACTCATTACTTATTTATTAACTGTTTATTGTGATCTGGGTGACATTTTACAGAGCAGATTCATTTTCTGTTCAACAGTTCCTACACATTTTGCTTTGTGACACTGATTACAATCCTTACAATGTTATAGCTTTTCTCCCACTTCTTCCCTGTGGTTACCCTTTCCCTATGTCCTTCTTTCATATGCATTCCCCCCTCCCTGGCTTTCTCCCTGCACCAATGCTGCTCTTCTGGTCTCCCACGTTTGATGGTTTTAAGGAGCATATCTCCCTTGTATAATTGTTCAGCTCATAGGCCTGTCTGTTATTTGGCTGAGAGATAACCCATGGGAGTGAGTTCAGTTCTAGGCCCAAAGGGTGACTAGAGGCCATAGTCTTGGGGGTTTCACCAGTCTCTCTGACAGTAATCTGGGTGATTTTTATTTTTCTGAATTTTGTTCCACATTTTTTCCCCACTCTATGCAGGATCTCTAATTTTGATCCCTTTCCAAGTGGTTAGCATTGGTAGTTGGGCATCAGCTAGGTCTTCTGGTCTCAAGGTTGTATAAACTGACAGTCCCATGGTTCACTAGTTCACAGATTATCAAATCTCTCTGAAGCTCAATTTTCTTCTTAGTAACTTCCTCGGATGGTTCATGTGTGAATGACATATATCCCGATCTTCCAGCTGGTAGGTTACTTGTGAGACAATGTGGTAGGCTACATTACTGTTCATCTGTTTCCCCTTCCTGAGAAGGATTACATGCCTCCAATCCCATTGAAGTTAAGCTTGGTCCTGTGACTTTCTTTGGCCAAAAATATGTGAACAGATATGCAATAGGTTGTTTCCAGGCAGAAGCTTGAAGAGCCAAAGAGTTCTTTGCTACAGCCTCTTATGCCTTTGCCATGGCAAGTGGGTAGGGGCAGCTTCATCAGCCCGAGTCCAAGAGCCAGCCAGTGATGAAGTGGAAGCCGAGCATAGTTGGCATAGGAACCTTTGTTTTTTATAAACCACTGAGATTTTGAGATTATTTATAACTATATCACAACCAAATCCTAACTTGACTATCTGCATCCAGGGAAAGCTTTTAACATAAACCATATTACACATTCCATTATAGATGAAACACAAGTCAGAGGAATAGAACAAGTATAAATTTTCATGATTCTGTGGTGAATTTTAAAATACAGCCACAGGCGGCTTCCTTCTTTGATAAAACCACCAAATCATATCTGTTGCCATTGAGTTGATTCTGACTCATAGTGACCCTCTAGAACAGAGTAGAAATGTCCCATAAGGCTCCCAAGGCTGTAATCTTTACAGCAACAGACTGCCTCATCTTTCTAGAATGGAGCAGCTGGTGGACAGGTTAGAACCCCTGACCTTTCAGTTGGCAGCCAAGTGCTTAACCACTGCGTCACCAGAGCTCCTAATCTTCTTTGATACAGAACCTTTTAAATTTAGAAGAACATTTTATAACCCCTCTTTACACATCACATCTGTAACACAGTTTAGAACATTTTTATGTGGGCTTATTACAGACCTCTAGTACTGAGACAATTAATATCCCATTCTTCAGTGGGCTCTAAGTGCCCTTGAGTGTTGTGGTGAGAAGATGGTGTTTTTCCAGACTATTACTAAAAATTAAATTTTAAAATTAAAAATTTTCTGACTCTTATGGCATTGAGAGAGCCTTAGACTTTAGCTATGTCTTCAAACTTTACTTTCTTTTTCTTATTTTTCAAAGCTCTTCTTATTCAAATTGTTTTTCAAAGTTCATTACAGGGTGTCACTCCTTTGTACCTAACTTCTTGCTTGTTTTTGCCTTATCAAATACCTCTTCATCTTCTTATTCTCCCCTCAAGTGTCATTTCCCCAGGAAGCATTTCCCACTCACAACTCCTCCCCTGCCTCAACCTAGAAGGGTTCCTATGTTGAACACTCATAATATCCATGTTCCTTTTCCCCAAAGTTTATCTCAGTTTAAGTATATAACCATTAGTATCATTATCAGATTAATTTCTTCCCAACTACACTGAAAATTCCCTTGGAGCAAGGGTGCCCATTAGTTTGTACAGGATATCAGCCTCATACCTACCAAAAAAACCCAAACTCACTGCCGCTAAGTCAGATCCAGCTCATAGCGACCCCTCCTTAGGTTTCCAAGG